ATGCAAAAATTGTGGAAACTGGTAAAGACGATAGTTTTCCCTATAACAACGTACAGGTGTGAAAGCTGGGTTATGAAAAGAGCTGATAGAAAGAAGATTGATGCATTCGAATTATGGTGCTGGAAAAGGCTATTGAGGATACCCTGGACAGCAAAGATTACCAACAGAGAGGTTTTAGAAATACACACCAAAGTGAGCATGTGCAGAGTGTCTCCACACGATATGTCTTATCAGGAGATAAGAGGGGAGCACTGGAAGAAGGGGAGGATCAGAGAAGTCAGGATCAAACAGCATTTTTACACAATGCAGAAGATTAACCCCTTAGGTTCCACAGTAAGTATATCAAACATACTTTGTTGCATATACAGACTGATTTTACTGTTATGGATTTGGTAACACTTTAACCTTGCAGTAGTGGCATTTTAACCTGCTGGGCCTTGGTGCTGAGTGGCCGCATATTTGTGTACCAAAAGTAAACAAACATGCGCTGAGAGTGCCCCTCCATGTACTTCTAGAACATTTACCGTTGCCTCACGGAAAGGTTCTGATCACTACATGTGATCAGGATCTTTCCGATCATGTGACAGCCAATCACGATGGCCACATGACCCTAAAGCCTGCACTGCTTACCAGTGTCATAAACCACTTAAACAGTTGGGAGACACAGGTGTCAAGGGGTTAAAATACTTTCCTTATTCCTCTCCGCCACAGACTGGCTCCTTATGCTTGACTGATCCCCTGAAGTCTCTTCTCTTCACTGCTCCCCTGGTCACAAGCTTTCTAACATCATCATGTCAATCACACTGGCCCTGCATTGTACATGAGGAATGCAGGGACCTGCCCACATCTGGGGGGCATGCAATGTCACAGAAAATCATGGAAAGTAATACTTGCTACCCATTAGTAGTACTACATCAAAGTAAACAGGCAATGAACCAATGAGTAAAGGCAAACATAATATATTGTCACCTAATATGGTTGGTAACTAAGTAAGCATAGAAATGGATTAACAATGGTATTAACACAATTTATCATACAGGGTGATTAGTAATAAGAGGTAGGCATAAGATAACACTTGGCATCAGTATCAACATAAACAATAGCAAGGTCACCTAAAGTGCAACAGTGGGCAGTAATAAAGCTTGATTTACTGAATCTGGGAGCTATACTGCCAAAGTTCATTAACGGTGACTATGCCAGGCCTAGACCCATTGGGTGTGCACTGTCCATAGAAATGGAAGAAAAAGTAGAATGGTCCAAAGGGGTCTTTCAGGATGGTTTTATAGAAGAAGTCCTTATGTTGTAATTCTGCTGGCTATTGTTGGGGCCCTTTAAGAAGCATTGGTACACTCAGTGAAAGATTTTGTAAACCAACATGCAGGAAAGGTGCAGTAAAAATTCAGTATGGGTGTAAGGTGTGGTATAGGTGTAGTACAGGTGCAGTATATGTGCAGTGAAGATGCTGTAATGGTGAGGTATACTTAATGTCCTGCTTCTAGCAATTCAGTTCCTGCTAGCAGTGTGAACAATGGGTGGTGATCCCTCTCCTCAGTCCCTATGGTGTGACTGTGAACTCTCACTGTGGAAAGGCATGCCCCCTTAGTCTCTCCACAGAAGAAAAGCCTCCGGAGATTCAGTGGCGGAAAGTAGAGGGTGACAGGATACTTTTGTCTCCCTGAGGTAAAGGTGCAGATGTGATCGCTGCAATCTGTGCTGCATTGCCTCAGATGTTTCTACTTTTCTGGCCTCTCAGCAGTCTGGTCAGTATGCAGCAGATGTGCTTTCACCGCTTCCATCAGAGCCAAGAGAAGGAGACTACCTGAGCAATCCAAGAAAAGTACACCTTTCCACCTTGCCCCAGTGTCTTTTGGGAATTATTGTAGAAAGAGTCCATAAGCTCCACAATATGGCTTACTTTCTGGACTTCAAATTCCATGATCCTCAGTGTCCTGTATGTCGTATATAGGATTTTCTGGTTATAGTTTTTCCTTGCACTGCTCAAAAAAATTAAAGGAACACTTTTTAATCAGAGTATAGCATCAAGTCCTGGGATATTGATCTGGTCAGTTAAGTAGCAGAGGGGGCTGTTAATCAATTTCAGCTGTTTTGGTTGTAATTAAATTAACAACAGGTACACTAGATGGACAACAATGAGATGACCCCCAAAACAGGAATGGTTTTTACAGGTGGAGGTCACTGATAATTTCTCCCCTACTCATCTTTTCTGACTGTTTTTCAGTACTTTGGCATTTGGCTAGGGTCAGTGTCACTACTGGTAGCATGAGGCGATACCTGGACCCTACAGAAGTTGCACAGGCATTCCAACTCCTCCAGGATGGTACATATTTATGTGCCATTGCCAGAAGGTTTGCTGTGTCTCCCAGCACAGCTCAAGAGCATGGAGGAGATTCCAGGAGACAGGCAGTTACTCTAGGAGAGCTGGAAAGGGCCATATAAGGTCCTTAACCCATCAGCAAGACTAGTATCTGCTCCTTTGTGCAAGGAGGAACAGGATGAGCACTGCCAGAGCCCTACAAAATTACCTCCAGCAGGTCACAGGTATGTATGTCTCTGACCAAACAATCAGAAACAGACTTCATGAGGGTGGCCTGGTGCCCAACACCCTTTAGTGGGCCCTGTGCTCACTGCCCAGGAACATGGAGCTCGATTGGCATTTGCCATTGACTACCAAAATTGGCAGGTCCGCCACTGGCATCCTGTGCTTTTCACAGAAGAGAGCAGGTTCACCCTGAGTACATGTGACAGACTTGAAAGGGTCTGGAGAAGACATGGATAATGCCTGTAACATCATTCAGCATGACCGTTTTGGTGGTGGGTCAGTGATGGTCTGAGGAGACACATCCATGGAGGGACGCACAGACCTCTACAGGTTAGACAATGGCACCCTGACTGCCATTAGATATTGGGATAAATCCTTGGGACCATTGTCAGACCCTACTCTGGTGCAGTGTGTCCTGGTTTCCTCCTGGTGAATGACAATGCCCTCATGTGGCGATAGTATGCAGGCAGTTCCTGGAGAATGAAGGAATTGATACCATTGAATGTCCCCCACGCTCGCCTGATCTAAATCCAATAGAACACCTCTGGCATATCATGTTTTGGTCCATCCAACACCACCCAGGTTGTGCCTCAGACTGTCCAGGAGCTCACTGAATCCCTGGTCCAGATCTGGGAGGAAATACCCCAGGACACCATCCGTCGTCTCATCAGGAGCATGCCCTGACATTGTCAGGCATGCATACAAGCACATGGGGGGCCATACAAACTACTGAGTACCATTCGGAGTTGCTGCAATGAAATTTCAGCAAAGTGGATTAGCCTGCTACATGATATTTTAACTTTGATTTTCAGAGTGTCTTTGAATTCAGTCCTCTGTAGGTTGATAATTTTTATTTCCATCAAACAAAGGGGCATCCTTATGTTCCTAACACATAACCCAGTCCCATATCAGTACAGATATCAAGCATGATATTTTTCCCCATTGAGATCTGGTGTTTTTTCAAAGTGTTCCTTTAAAAGCGTTCCTTTAATTTTTTTTGAGCAGTGTAATTCATATTTTCATTTTCTGAAAAGAGTGAACTAACCATTTAAGTAAATTCCTGTGTTGAGGTGTGTAATTGTATATTCACACATTGAAGAGTTAATGGAATTTGTCAAATAACATTAGAATACAATATTTTCCCCAGTAGTGGTCTAATATGATACTTTGTTGTTGGCTTTTGCTTGTTGTGCTTCTTTATTTCATAAATATGTTAGAAATAAAAAAATATAGAATATCAATTATAATATTTCAGTTTGACTGCTTACCATAATTGTTAAACTTGACTGTTGCATGGTTTTTGTGTACATCAATAACAAGAGAGCCTACAAATGTTATAGAGTTGGCATTTTAGCACCACTGTATAAAAGGTGTTACACTTTATATTGCATGAGAAAAAGCCAGGCGCCTTAGGAAAACTGTGCACAAGACATATTTACATGTGACAGACCCAGCACCGGAGGGTATATATCTGAGTGCTAGAAAAGCCTCACAAGGATTTCGCCTATCTCATCATTTTTAATTCCCAACATAGCTTGGTGGGACTGGATAGCTGATAATATTACAGTGTTACACTTGTTTGTGCTGTTATATTTCACAGAGAACGAGTAGCTAATATTACACATTCAAATAATCCACACTCTTCATATCAAATGTCAACAAAAGATGGAACTGCTTAAGAAAAGAAAAACTTTTATATGCTTTCTAAATTTCAGTATTATATGTAACATTTTCAGAGATAGCTTTGGGGAATGCAAGACTCTACATACATGAACATACTCTGAATCATGAAATACTTTTGACCCCTAAGAATTTGATAAATGATTGTGAAAAACCCCACAAACAGATATATGTAACCTGTACTGTAGCTGATAACTGCTGAGGAACATATTCCTTTGTTGCTGCTGTATTATACTTCAGCAGTGTGGACAGGTTTAAAACTGAATGTTCACTAATGCACAAGTGCAGCAGCCCCATCTTTAATGAGACCATTTTGTAAAGCTTGTCTATAAAGTGTCTCCAGTGGAGGGGGAGCATCTTGGTTGGATCTAGAGGATAGTGATTGGCTGATGCAACAGAGCAAGGGGACTATGAACTGGACTGCTGGAAAAAGAGAGCTTGGTTGTGCCACCAGTCTGCAGAATACAGGGAGGAAACCACTTTGGGGACCATGTATTGCTGCAACCATTTTCCTGGGCTGAGCATCTGGGAAAGAGTACCACAAGGATACAGTGAAGGGGAAACAGTGGTGTGTCAGCCAGAGTTTGCTTGAGCTGCCCAGGAGAAAAGAGCTGATCAGAGGCTGCCGCTCTCATCATACTCTGTGCAATACTCTATGTGAAGGGATGGTCCTGGAAGCAAGCAGGTGTGTGGGACAGAGACTTAGCTGCTGCTGATGGATGTATGAATCTCTGCCATAGCTGACCATAATCAGGTAAGAACTCTTGCATCCTGTCTGCAGTCCCTGACCATCTCCTGTAGGCTGTCCGCAGTCTCTGACCACATCCTGTATCCTATCTGCAGTCTCTAACCATTTCTTGCATCCTGCCTGCAGTCTCTGACCATCTCCTGTATCCTGTTTGCAGTCTCTGACCATCTCCTGTACTATGTCTGCAGTGTCTGACCTTCTAATGTATCCTGCCCACAGTCTCTGACTATCTCATGTATCCTATCTGCAGTCCCTGACCTTCTCTTGTATCCTGTCTGCAATCTCTGACCTTTTCCTGTATCATGTCTGCAGTCTCTGACCATCTCTTGTATCCTGTCTGCAGTCTCTGATTAACTCGTATATCCTGTCCACACTGTCTGAGTATCTCTTGCATCATGTCTGCAATCTCTGACTATCTCTTGTCCTATATTATGTCTGCAGTCTCGGAGGGGGAGCCTGAAGAGGAGACAAGAGTGGAGCGCCCCCGGGACAGGGGTCACTGGAGGTGCCAGATGTGTGTGGACTGTGGAGAGGAAAATATAGGATGAAACCAGAGCTGCCAAGCTGGAGCCTGGAGAGGACCGTTTGCCTGAGCCCTGCATGGTGCAGCTGAGAAGAGGTCAGTGACAGCAACACCAGGCCAGTCTGAGGGGGGGGGGGGGGATCACTGATGTAAGGGGGAGTGAATACAGTAAGGTAAGGGGAGGCACTGATATAAAGGTTCCCTCTCTCATATCAGTAACCCCCCCTTACATTAGTGTATTCACTCGGTGGAAGGTAGTCTGTGGTCACCAGAGCCCCCCCCCACATCAGAGTTCTCGGCATTCCCCCTTAAATCAGTGTCCTCAAAGTTCCCCTTCACATCAGAGTCTGCAGTGGGGAACTCTGCGGACCCTGATGTAAAGGGGAACTCTGATGTAAAGGGGAATGCTGTGGACTGATGTAAGGGGGGCTCTGGTGACCAGAGATCACTTTATATCAGTTTCCCTTTACACCAAAGTCTGCAGCATTCCCCTTACATCATGATCAGCAGTGTTCCCCTTTATATAAGAGTTCCCCTTGCACTGTAAGGGGGAGTCCTGCAGAGAAGCATGTTTTTTTACTTTTGTTAAAATTTAAACACATTGCTAATAGCACTAGCTACACAATTGTAGCTTAATTATTGATATTTGCATTGTTTTGCACTTACAACTGCCATTTTATGTACATTTTTGAAGTGTCAGTAAAAAATGTGGGTATCAGTAAATTTCACGATTTCTGTCAGTTAAAAATTGGTGCTGTTTATAAATTTTGGGGGTTCTGACAGTAAATTTCACTTCAGAGGGTTGGCAATACTGGACTGTACTAGAGAGCACTTCCACTACTTGTAAGAAAGGAAAAATAGGGACTGTTTCAGCAGGATTGAAAGAAAAAGATCATCAGCAATGTCTATCCATGTCTGACTTGAACTACACTTTTACTGATTTAAAAGCACATGTCCAAAGACGAAGAAGAGGGTGTCCTGAAACTGGTCAGAGACTAACATCATACAAGTTAATCTGTTGTCTGCTGGGAACTGTTGTGCTTTCTTCAAGGGCCCTAACTTTGTTGGCTAACTTTTTTATCATCAATCACTGGCAACCTCAAAGGAAGTCGTAATGACAAAATGCATCAAGGCATGGCTATACAGCAACAGGAAGTGACATAATACTCTGGACCAGAAGTGGCGTAGACTGGAGTGACGCAGTGAGCTAGCATGGTGAGACACAGTGATCACCAGCCACATGATCTTAGAGATATTGATGGAAATCTTTATATTGATGGGCATTGTTTTTAATTTGCTTGTGAGTGTGTTTTTTTTAAGTGGGAATGAATTTTAATAAAGAGCTTGAAACAGGATTACTCTATGTTGGCCAATCTTTTTTTTCTAGCCCTAGTATAACTATGGGAGACAGTGCGGAGCTCATGGAGGTGTATTGTAGGAGGAGCCACTCTTAAGGAACCTGATGAGAGGGTTTTTTTGCCAATCAGTAAAATGACAGATAAATGCAATTTGCGAGTGTGGTGTGTCTTATGGGGAGTGGAAATCACATGGAGCACAGTGGTGAAAGTAATTTGAAGACGAAGACTAGTTTTTGGATTGGAGCCCTTGAAGTTTGTTTTAGATCAATGCACAGGACATTATTTATTAACTTTTAGTAGACATCACTGTGGTGGACATTTGTTGTACACATTTAGCATTGGGTGACTAGTGCTTGGAAGATTAACTTTCAATTTTTGGATAGTGAAGCGCTACTAAGGGGTGAATTTTGTTTCACTCTTTTATGTTTATTCACTGGCAAGTGAGATAAAACTGGAACAGATTCATAAAGTGCAGATGAAGTAAATAAACAGAGATTTACTTTTCACGTGATTGGATAATTGAAGTTAATCCTCACATATTTATTTGTGTGCACATTGTCAAATCCTTTATTAAATCAACCTCTGTTTGCTATTACACCTCTTTTAGTGATTGGAAACACTCACTCATTATCACCACTTGCTGAAGATCTACATGGCCCCCATTGTGCCCATTTTCATAATAGATACTTGAATTTTAGATTACATTATTAGAGTTATCCCTGCTACCTGGTATATGGGAGATGATGAAAACAAATGCATAAAAAATACCTAAGCACTTCATGCATAAGAGAAATCTGCCTTCTCAGCCACTGACAAGACAGAGATTGTATCACATGATCAGAAGTTTAAACCTCTGTTTGCCATACCATGGGTGAACAGATGTTGTATTAAGAATCCTTCAGTTTTATCACTGATTTGGCAGACCTGATGGATAACACGCCTTATATGATAAAAACTTTGGCGGTATTGCTAATGAATTAAAAATGATTAAAAAGGAAGTACTCCAACATCGGCTAGTGTTGGACTACCTCACTGCTAGTCAAGGTGAAATGTGTGCCATTGTGGGATCTGCTTGCTGCAATTACATTGGAAATGATACAAAGGCTGTGGATGCCAACATTTCACATGCAGAGTACAGCAGTTAAAAAACTGGTTTTCCATAAAGAGCATCTGAGACTGCTTGGGTTGGAGGAAGCTGGGAGAGCTGGCTCTCGTGGCTTAATCCCCTCAACTGGTTCTCTGGCATTGGAGGTTGGTTCTCTGGCATATTCCATGGTATTCTATACATTATCAGATTTATTGTTGCTATAATCCTTATAGTCAAATGTGTACCAATTCTTTTTAAATGTTGCATGAAGACAGTTACAAATGCGTGTACTAATACGGGTTCCTTTGAGCTCCAAAGGTCCCGTGTGATGACTGCCTATGAGATGGTGTCTCGCATTCCTGAAATTCGTTCTAAAGATACAGAGGACATCTAATATCAAAGAATTCGAACAACAGGAGGGACTGTTAAGATGAGCAAACAAAATGGAGTCAGATCACTATCATCTATATACGCATATATCTATATATTCAAAGATATATTCCATGTTCCTCTTGTATAACTTTTCTCTAAGTATTTTGTAACGTGTTTTTCTCTGTTCTGAATTCTTTTTGATATTATATAAACCTTTGTACCATATTTTGTTGTTGTTGTTGGGACAGCTGTGGTTTCTATTTTCCAAGAAATGGTTTGGCTGGACATTCATAATTATTACCCAGAAATACTGATCATAATCATTTCTCAAGGAATCACTATCGTTTTGAAAAGTCCCTTGGCCTACTTTTGCGTAATTGTAGTTTGAATTATTAAATGTTATTATGACAAGCAACCTTTATCTTGTCCAAGAGGCCAACGTGTTCCAAGTTTGTGTTGAGACAATCAGTTAGGAATTTCTCGTGATTTGGTATTGTGCCCGTCATAGGAAATCATTGTGTAAGAATGGTATAAATAGGCTTGTCCATGAAATTATTTTCATCACATTGTGTTCTGTATACAATGCTGATCCAATGTACATTGTAACATCTATCAGTAAACTTATCTCAGATGAATGCAATCCGATTGGAGTCAATGTCCTTCACTAAAACGGCATACTTAACAATTAACTTTTCTTAAAAATGTTGGGCTTGTATGGCTACCAAGTGATATGCCAGTAAAGTAAATTATTGTATTACTGTGAAAAGATGAATATACTCAAGCCTGATTAGTAAATATTGTGTTCTGCTACCAATTGTTGTAAAGTGAGGGAAATATGAAACAATTTAAAAAGCCCTAGTCTGAATAATAACCAATATATGGACAGCCATGAAGCAGCTGTTGAGACCTGTTAACCTCACTATGTACTAATTCTTTTTGTTTTTCTAATTTGGGGGGGGGGGTGTGATAATGTGCAAGTACAAGCTCTGCAGCCACTGATACGCACTACATAAGTGATTTGTAATTGCAGAATTTTACAAAATAAAGTAAGGTGAGATAACAGAATGCTATTGCAAGACATTCTGCTGCAAATGCTGAAGGTTGAAATCATGAGATTAATCCAGCAAGGACATACTGGGATGAGTGCTTTTCAGCCATTCAGAGGGTGCCTCATATTTTTACCAATGAATACAAGGTTTCCTCTGATAGACAGAGGTGGAAATCATGATGTCAGTCATTAAAGAGCCTTATACTGTAATCATTAAAGAAAAAAACAAAAAGGCTTCCTCTGAATGGCTGAGAAACACTCAAACCAACTAGATTTTGTTCCTACAGCAGAAAGGAGGTCACCCTACATGCTACCAGAACACAGATCTGCATACTGTATGTAGTTGATGATAGAGTACTGGCAGAAGGACTTAGCTATAGAAAGTAGACATGTGTACGCCATACATTTTAGCTTTATTTTGTTTTGGATGCATGGGGCTGTACAACACCACAAACATCCACCCTGATTCCACCCCACCATGCCCCACCATACCTCTCCAATCAGTCATGATAGTAAAGAAACCCATGAAATTGAAGTGTGGAAAATACGGCTATGGCCCATTTATTTAGGTTTTAAAACAAATATGATAACCTTTGCTGTACCATACATTTACATTAACACACATACCAATACCACTTTAACCACCAATACAAACCACCTGCTCAGTCTTTCAGGACTTGAGCACACAGACACATTTACCAACCAACAGGTACCAGCATAAACACTGTCCACCCACACATGCGGGGCGACATTACCCAGTTTCTTTTAGGACTACCAAATAACTGGTCCAACCGCCAGATACCAACGTAAACAGTGTCTGCCAACATCTTTGGGGTAACATTACCCCATAAAGTTAGAGCTGCGACAAAGGAAGGTAGGGGAGATGACAGCGTAATTGAATATTCACACTGTCGTACCTGACCACAGATGTTGACACTAATAAAGGAACACACTTCATCCCTATTGGTTGACTTTCAAATTTTGTTTCTAAGCATTTTTTTAAACTGCCCAGTATCAAAGCAGTGATTATCTTCTAGCAATAAGGCTAGGTTCACACATG